TGATTCAAAACGGCCAATACCAATCAGTCCATTTCAGCTCACTAATGCCTAGGATATTGATCTTTATGAGTTCTATTTCATTTCTGATGACTTCCAATTTTCCTAGAGTCATACTTTGTACATTCCATGTTCTAATTATTAATGGATGTTTATAGCTGTTTCTTCTTTTGAATCGTGCCACATCAGCAAACAAAGGTTCCAAAAGCTTTATTCCACGTCTATGTTATTAAGGTCGGCCCTATTTTAAGAAGGCAGCTCATCCTCAGTCATATTTTGAGTGTCTTCCAACCCCAGGAGCTCACCTTCCAGCACTGTATCAGACACTGTTCCTCTGCTACTCACAAGGTGTTCATTCAACTTTTTCAGAAGTAGACCACCATGTCTCTTTTTTAGTTTGTCTTAATCTGCAAGCTCTACTGAAACCTGTCTCCCACAGGATGACTGGTGGCATAGTTTCCAGCATTACAGCAACACACAGGCCACCACAGTACAACTAACTGACTGACAAGTATTTCCTAGATATTAACACATATAACATGTATACCTTCAGTAGACAGTGATTACAGATATACATTTAAAAGACTAAGGAATCAGTACTGCCTTTAGTTACTATTTTATTAATCACAGTAGTAACATACTCTTAGAAACACTATTTATGAATATGTGAAAATTACTAACTCAGTCTGCAATGTCTGAAGCACAAGTTTGATTTCTAAACTTGGTAAGTCCCCTAAGAGTCCATGACCCACAAGCTGGGAATCACTGATCTATGTTCTTTCTGAAACAAAAACAACAAAGATGTTTCCTGATGCTTAGAAATGATCCTTAAGGGGGTTTCTAGATGTAGTTCTTCGATGAAGTAACCATATGGATGCTATCCATATTTCAGAAGGCCAGAGTGCTACTCCTTGACATTCATTTAATTCATAATGTGCTTTATAAATTTCTTATAAGCCCTAAGTCCCCAGAGTAGTTTTTATATAAATTATTTCTATAAGGATAAAAATAAAATAAGGCCAACATATTTATCAAATGTCTACACCTATGGCACTGTAAAAGATACAGAGGAGTATCTGAACAGACCCTGTCCAAAAGGAACCTGAAATATAATCAAGAAGATTTATAGTCATGAAAATTTAACTACTATAACTGATTTCAATACCAGCTTAAGATGTGAAAAGAAGCACATATACTGACCAGGTGCCAGATGAACAGGAATGTAAACACCGCTACAGGGTTTCAGAGAAGGAGCAACTACTCTAGTCTATGGCAGTGTGAAAAGCTGCAAGGAGAAGTGGCTTTTGAATGAGAGCTGCATCTTGAAGAACAAGCAATATTTCGGGAGGTGAGGCAAAGGCAGGAGAGGATATTCTAAGCTTCACCTAATTCATTAATGGCTTGCTGAGTTCTCATCCTCAGTCAAGTATCAAAGATGAGATGGTCTGTGGGACTCTTGGTCAAATTCCCTCTCCTAGGTCTGAAACCCCCAAAACACTTACAATCCTATACTACTAATTATTCCCACCCTCCACATAAGTGAATAAATGAGACTGGCAAATTCTGACTGCTGACTGTTGTTTAAAATTAAGTCACACCTCAATGTGAATGCACCTACCCCAAAAATAAATTTCACATATTGAAACAAACCCATTGTGTGATGCTTGCAAGTTTCTATAAGAGAATCTCTTTTCAGAGTTGTTTACTTACTATTTAATATTCATATATTATCAGCCCAAAATGTATCAGACTTTTAGCAGGAAAAGGAAAAAATTATATTAATATTAATGGTACTAACCTTGTTTGTTCTTGGGTTCAGCATAAGTGGCTTGCCTTTCTCTTTTCTGTGCAAATGACGACATATCAATGTACAAGGAGGACTGGCAACTACTCTTAACCGGGATAACATTTCTTTCACCTGGGAAAAGCAAAGCAAATGAACCACAAATGAGAAATAAATTCTAGAACCACATATACGCAAGTATCAAATTTCAAAAAGAGATTTAGAAAGCTTATCTTATTACATGTGAAAAAGCTTTTTAAAAAGGTAGGTACGTCAGTCTTTCTTCAACAAATGGTGCTGCAACAACTGGATTTCTAGACACAAAAGAATGGATCTGGAGCCATACCTCACACCATACACAAAAATGAACTCAAAGTGGATCAACGACCTAAACATAAGAGCCAAGACCATAAAACTCTGAGAAGAAAACACACAGGTGAAGCTTCAGGACCTTTTTGTAAGCAGTGGATTCTATGACATCAAAGCATAAGCAGTAAAAGAAAAAAGAAATAAACGGGACTTCACCAAAATTAAAAATTTTTGTACATCAAGAGGCATTATCAAGAAAGTTGAAAGATAATCTGTAGCACGGGAGAAAAGAATTGCAAACCACGTATCAGATAAGGGTTTAATATTCTGAATATATAAAGAACGCCTAAAACTCAACAACAAAAAATCAACCAAACTAAAAAAATGGGCAAAGGACTTGAATAGACATTTTTCCAAAGGAGATATACAAATGGCCAAAATGCAGATGGAAAAGAGGCCCAACATCATTAATCATTCAAAAAACCAAACTCACTGCCACTGAATCGATTCCCACTCATAGTGACCCTTTAGGACAGAGCAGAACCGGCCTGTAGGGTTTCCAAGGCTGTACATCTTTACAGAAGCTTGCCTCATCTTTCTCCAGCAGAGCAGCTGGTAGGTTTGAACTGCCAACCTTCTGGTTAGCATCCAAATGTTTTAACCGCTCTGCCACCATAGCTCCTTTCACCAGTCATTAAGGAAATGCAAATCAAAACCACTTCATACCCCAAAACAAACAAACAAAAAAACAAACTCACTGCTATCAAGTCAGTTCCGACTCACTGCGACCCCCATTGGCTTTCTGAGGCAGTAAATCTTCTTTGTTGTTGTTTTACTTTTTAAAATTTTTATTGTGCTTTGGGTGAAAGTTTATAGAGCAAATTCATTTTCCATACAGCAGTTCATACACATTGTTTCATGACACTGACTGCAATTCTCTACAGTGTAACAGCTCAATTCCCACGTCCTCCCTGTAATTACTATGTTCATCACTCCAAGGAGTGTGAGGCAGTAAATCTTAATGAAAGTAGATTGCCCCATCTTCCTTCCAAGGAGCAGCTGGTGGGTTTAAACTGCCAATTTTCTGGTTAGCAGTCAAATGCCTTAGGTACTACACCACCAGAGCTCCTTTCATACCTGCTAATAAAAAACCCAAAAAACCCAAACTCACTGCCATC